TTCGCATCATATATTCATCCTTAACACACCCACAAAAATGTCAGTTTGCTACCTAAAAAAAAAAAAACGCAAATCAAATACTAATGCATTATTAGGTTTGCCAATGCATTATTATGTTTGCCAACATAACGTAATCTTTTTACAACACAATGTTTGCAAACATAACACAATCTTATTTCAAAAATCAATATAAGAATCCCATGTAAAACACAATGTTAAAATGAAAAAATGTACACCCTATATCGGCTCCTTGCATGATTTTCGATTGTGGCTTCCCAACTTATCACATCTCCCGCACCTTATTTGCTTCAGTTTCTCACCCCTTGATGGGATTCTATTCTTTTTTAGCCTGCTGGGTGGTCTTTTCACAGTTGGTGGGTATATAGTGAAATCTGTGGGATCAAAAGACGGTTTTTCCACCGACCGTATAGGGAATATGGCACCTGAATAGGCTGCACGATACGTTTCTACATGACACAATCATTAAGATTGTAGCGGTTTTTTTGAATAGCAATAACAACATGGTCATATGGAAATCCGTTGATTTGCCATTTGAAGTAAGAACACGTACGTCTTGTAATATTAACTGTAACAGATGGTATAGAATGAACCTCAAACACATCCCTATTGGCTTTGCTCACGTGCCAAGACCTACTATCATTGAATGAATCAAGAAGCATTGTTTCGAATGTAAGACAAATAAGCTCATTCCACTTGTTTGCTTGGTCATGCTACGCAGACATTTGCCGTATCAACTGAGTACGAATTTTGTCCACCATCTAAGTGATAGAAAGATTGCGCACTTCTTTAATCTAATTATTAAATGACTCTGCCGCATTGGATGTCATCTCCCCATAATGCATGCCCCTACACAACATCATAAACATTGTACAATATTAAATTAAATTTCTTCGGAACTGAATATGAAATTTCACATCGTCACAAAACATAACTGAAATTTTACATCGCTACCATTCTAAACTTAACAAATGGAATACATCAGGAAACGACTATTACCTGAAGTATGAATTCGCCCAGTGCTCAGGTGCCAACTCCTTGAAAAAACTATGTGCTCGTTGTTTACCCTCCTCTTTTAATTTCTTAAGCTTTTCATGGAACCCTACTACAGTTGGCTCGTAAGCACAGTCACCCAAACTACTAACGAGGTGGTCCCAAAATCCATTATTAATTCCCTTCATCCGGTCTCTTAAGTTGTTCTTCAACTGTTGTAAGCAATAACCGTGGTGAGCAGATGGGAACACCTTCGGCATCGCTTCTAATAGACCAAGATTGCAGTTCGAAATAAAAGTAACACTGCTGGAAATTGAAGTTTTAGAGGCGTTTAAAAAACGCCGCTATAGATTTTAAAAACGCCGTTAAATCCTTTTGTGACGTTTAACACCAAACGCCGAAGATGCAGCCGTCGCTATAACTCAATGACGCTTTAGAAACGTCACTGTCTGACTATAGGCGGCGTTTTTAAAAACGCCGCTAAAGGTTCTACTCAAGGTCACATGACGTCACCATGCTATTTAACGACGTTTTTAAAACGCCGTCGTATCTCCTTTTCCCAAAAAAATCCAACTGTTAGGATGCTATTTAGCGACGTCTTAGAAATACCGTAATAGCCCTCTTTTTTTTTTCTAATTGGTGCTAATTTTATGTTAAATGCCTGTAATTTCAGTAGCAGACAAACTTTTAAATATAGCAATACAAAAAATTATTAAAAAATGTACAGCCATGGTACATAATTACAAAATATTGAAGCCAAAAAAAATCATCATCCCATCAAAGAACCAATTAAGGAAAATAGAGAATTATAAACGAAAAATCACCATCCAAAATAAATAAAATATCTCAGGTGCCAGTATGAGGAGTCACAGAAGTAGGCATATGAAGGAAAAGAGAAATATAGCATGTAATGTTAAACATGATAATTCCATTTCCTAGGGAGAGATTGGGAAGGAAACTGTGGCCTCCTAGAAAATAAAAATGAAAAGGGGTTGAAAATTACATTCAGTGTAGTCAAGCCTCTTAAAATATGCATACGTGAACAGCTAGTTAAGGTTTGGCAACTAAAAGGAATCAGTAAAAAATCAGATTAATATACAAATGCCAACTTTAGGCACAAATCATCAACCTAATGGAAAGGATATATAACAATCTCCTTTTCATAGGTATACTTAAATGGCTTGCATCTTGGAATTGGTTATAGAATGTGCATCAACTCAACCTACAACAAAAAAAACATAATCTTAGCTCAGTAAATAAACAAAAGTTAAAGAAAAAGAAACCTTAGATGAGATATTACCTAGCAATATCACCTCGTAATATGTTTAAAAGAACTGTTTCAACAATATCATCTACATTATGCCCAGTAGCTAGCTTGTCTACTTTTAGCAATGAGGCACCACAATCAAGGGCCTTGTAGAGAAAGCATTCCATCATTACAATCAAACTCAATTCATTTCATCATTTCTGCATCCAGAAACAAGGGCAGGAAAAAAGAGAGATTAAGTTCATCAATTTGAAAATGCATAACTGCTCTACCTGGCGACGGAAAACACCACAAAATGTGCAATTGTTCTTTAATCAAATAATCTTCACTATTTCGTCCATTGTCCATCCGTACAGTTCCTTGTAAGACACCACTTTTAGTGGTAGTCCATACTGAAAAAGGAAAAGGAAAAAAAGGACACACATAAGCACACAGGACTCGTTGATTAAAAAGACAAAAGATTAAAAACCATTTTATTAGCTAAAATAGAAGTTCTTAGAACAGCAAGAACAGAAATTAATGAGTCAGCAACAACAGTAAAGAAAAGATTGCAGGACAAAAAGAAAAATTAAAATGTTGTGCTGCAAGAAAATAAATAAATGAACCAATAGCAGAATAAGCAAAAACGACCCAACTTGTGCTAAACTAAAAAAATCAGGAGACTTGCTCACCTGGACTTCATTTCTTTTAACAGTTTCAAGTGAATCATCCCTATACCCTGCGATGCCTTCATCAACTGACAAGAGAAATAGATTTACGCCATAATTATGCCGACGATTCAGCTCTGACAACACATAAGCAAGCACTGTGGAATCTGCACAAATGGGAGGAACAATATGAAATGCGAGGGGGAAACAATCGTGTTCATAGCTTTTGCCTGTAATCAGTCAGATAGAGATGTGACTAAAAATACAACAGCATAACCCAACACATCCACACACCAAAAAAAAGTAGCAGATAACCTCCGCTCCTGCAGTGAGAACCCACAGGAAGGTACCTCTTTCCACAAACTCTCTCTCCAAAAATCACACATCAGAAAGATGGCAACATAGCATTTAAATTTAATCTCTCATGCATGAAATGGGTGAGGAAATAAATGAAACTACACTTGCTTTTCTCTGTTTTTTATTCAATTACATCGACATCGAAACTGCAGTGCTTTGTCTGAACTAGAAACATCTGAGAGCATAAACCAAAGGAAAAAATCAACCTGACATTCTACAGAAAAAATTAATAAAAAACACTGCATACTTGCCATCAACTCCAAGGAAAATTAATAAAAAACGCTGCATACTTGCCATTAATTAGAAAAAATTAATCAACCTGACATTCACTTCCTTTGGTTTTTTCTGGAAACTTGACATACTGTCATACTTGCCATCAACTCCAAGGAGTTCATTTTCTCCCTGCTAAAGATAACCTGAATAACCCAATTTTTGTCAACTGTTGAGAGACTTAATTATAAGGAAAAAAGTTAATCTCAAAAAGAAAAAGAAAAAAAAATACAAAAGATTGCTACCAATTCATCACATTATGCACTAAACTTCAAAAACAAGTGGCCAAAAAAGTTACCCAGAATGCATTGGATGCCTTGCCAAGTATGCAGTACTGATAGCTTCTCTATCATTTTCAGAGACCTGCATTGTTTATCAAAACAAAAAAAATATATGTACTTCAAACATTTCTACACAAGACTACAAACTGGCTTTTTTTTTTCATTAAATTTCTACACGGACTAGTTTCTACAGCAGCAATTCAATCAATCTGAAACTTTATCATGCCTTATGACAGCTGCGAACATGCTGGGCAGAAGAGTAAGCAGAAAGCGCTGATCCAGTCACAGTCAACGAATGCTTCGCGAGCCCCACGCTTTTCTTTGTTGCCAACCACATAGTCTAAAAGAATCCAATCCAACCTGAGATGCACATGGATTTAAGAAACAAGATGGTAACATCAGGAGCAAATTCATCATGAAAATTCATAGGGTTCGGTTTCTATAAACTTCAATATGAGCCTAGTAATTTTATGGGAGAATACATGGGTTGGTTGAGAAGGTCCAAAAAAGAAACTGGCTCCAGCTTCGGGTGCACAAAAAATAATATTAAATCTTTAACTGGTACAAAATGTACAGTCAAATCTCAAGAACAATAGACATTCATCCCCAAGAACTCTACCAAGCTGAAGTCTGTTGGCTGATCTATCTAGATAGAGCCAGGTGTGAGCCCAAACTGATAATGCCCCAATGTAAATTGCCGTCACACAGGCAAAGAAAAGACCCAAGAAGCCCCCTGCTACAGCTAAAGACACGAGAAGAGAAATTATAATGGCATTGACAGCTGCTGCCAGAAAGAAAAGCATAAAGACTACCAGTCCTGTCAAGGCCAAAAGCCCAATAATAGTTCCAACCTGAAGCAATTTTAGAAAGTAATTCATAAGAAATATAGAAACAACAATTTATAAAAAAATAAAATAAAAAAAGTTCGTTTAAATTAGGCAAGAACCATATGAAGATTAAAATCCAACAAAACCAAGAGTCTTTTAATTTACCCCGAGTAACACTCTAAAACAAAAAACAAAATATTAACGAAGAAGCAGATGTATAGCTAGGCCAAATACCAGTATCTTGCATCAACAAACGCCATACTGCAAAAAGCAATCAAATACTATGGAAGACAAAATAATGATTACAACAATTTTCAACTACAAGTCAGAGGTACTATTGTCATTTTTTAAAACATTCAATGGAATCCTCTAATAGAGTCGTTTACATTAAGACAAAATAATAATTATGAAGGGATTTGTTTTGATTCTTATGATCCCATATCAATTAACAATAGGCTTGGCCATGTGAAGTGGGATAGTTTTTAATAGCAATTTATTTCTTTTTTTTATTCCATTTATCTGTCTCTCCCCCACCAATTAGTTAACCAATTTCGTACTTCTCTCTATTAACAAATTACAGCAAAATAAGAAGTTTTAGTTCAAATTATAAGATTAAAAAAACCATTCATAGAATTTCAGCAAAATGAGGGATATGATAGGATCGTTTCAAATCAAATGTCGAAACCATTCATAGAATTTCACAGGATTGATTTCACCTTAAGAGAGAGAGAGAGAGAGAGAGAGAGAGAGAGAGAGTGGAGCTCACCGATATGAATCACTGAGATGAACTTCGATTTTGATTTCGAGAGAGAACTTCAAAATCGCTCTGATGAATCACCGACTTATTGACGGTAAACCTATTCAAATAAACAGTCAACGCAACTTATTGACAGTAAACCTGTTCAAATAACCCAAGATAAGATCTGACCACGTAGTGAATAAATAGCTTCTCAACCATGCAGAGTTCTCCATCCGGAAGCTGTTTGACAGAACATACCACAATAAATTACCATTAAACTAAACATGAACTTGAATTGATTTCTTCAATTAAAATGGGCTAAAAATATATTTGAAACTCACTGGAGTGAGCTTGTTAAAAAGTGACGCAATTAAAACGTCGTACACAGTCATCATCACAAGAGATAGTACAAGCAGAAACCCCCAAAGATAGATGGCCAAGGAATTCCTTTCTGCAACCCAAACAAATGAACATTTTTTATCACCAACCAGCAAAGTAAAACTGAAATGTCTTAATACAGTGAAAAAAACAGTACCTGTACTATTACAATAATTGCTGCGACAATAGGCGGTCCAATTATAGTTGCTAGGATGATTCCTTTAATCATGTCCCTAATGAATAACCATATTGTTTGCTGTTACTTCAGCAAAACAAGAGCAAGCATGTAACAACTAAATTTTTAAGGTAGGAAATAACAATATATGAACATGATAATCATTAATGAGAGAGTACAAACTTTGATGAAACCATGGCGGGCCTCAATGACAAATGTTGAATATAGAGAAAATGGCAAGTCAGTAATCTGCAAAGATTCCAAAAATAATGAATATCAACTAGTTTGAATACAATAGGAATATAGTTACTTCAATGCATCCACTTATGAGGATGCACATTAATTTTAAAAAAAAAATCATGCCAAATATGATATATCCATTCCATCAGGTGCAGCCAAACCAGGAAAATTAGCTAGCCTTGACCTATAATAAGTTTAAGCAGTTTGTTGGCAAGACACTGATCCAAATATAAGCAATCAACCAATTCAATAAAAACTCAGGAGGCTGGTCATAAAGAACTACAGTACTACAAATTTAAAACATGGAAGAAAACAAAAAATGTACCATTAAACGGCTTAATAATAAATTTGAACAAGCAGAATGGAGGCTGTTGCAAACTTTCAGAAGACCCATCTTACTTAATTCCCCAGTTTTGTGCCAATTCATGTTGCATTGCCCTTGTCGTGCATAAGGAACCATTTGCCATCTTCCCAAAATGCTTCTCAAACCTAGACATGCACCAAAAACTCACACCTCAGGTATGAAGACAAAGAAAGGCCTTCAAATCCAAAGGAAATTTTACAAGTCAATTCAAGTGTACCAATGGTATATTGCCACAAAAACACTACTTCTTCCGAGAGACAATGCTAGCAAAGTATATCCAAAATTGTGCCAATCAACAATAAATGCAGAACGCCTCAACCAGCTTGCCCACTTTACAGCCACTAAAGTTGGGACAGAAGGTGGATTCTACAGAAGCCGAAACAAGGTAGTTTAGACCAAAATATCAATCCAAGCAGGCAAGGCACGACACTCCTATTCAAAACTGACTAGAATCATGGCCAAGCAAACATAGCCATGGATGATTACAAGTTAGGCCCATTTTGGGCCACCAATATTTTTATAGGTTGAAGCTGCTACTACTTTGTTCAGTATGTGACCCCTAGTAAAAGAAGAAAGACAGAAATTGGACATTAACAATATTCTTTCCCAAAACTTCAAAGCATTCAATAAAAAGAACCAATAAGATAATAATAATGCACAAAAGATAACATATAATACGTCCTCTAATGAAATTGTTACCAGATATTCTACCTAAATCATGCTTATTTCAATGAACTTTTTCAATGCTAACACTTTAGCAGTTATATAAGAAAAGTTCTAAAGATTTACAGTAATAAAAAGGTCATCAAAACACTGCCAAAACAATACAACTTAAAAAGTGTCAAACAATGTATTTTGATAATAATTCAGCCACATACATCTTTCAGAGCTCACCTGCACTATAAAAACATTAGGAGCAGGTATTTTGACACAAAGAAACCAAAGAAGCATAAGAAACCGAATCAATGGTTTGAGCAAAAGCATCAAGGGACGAAGTATCTTTGGTAAATTCCGAGGGATTGTTGGCCACTGTGTCTGCAGAACCAGATTTCAAAAAAAAAAAAAAAAATTACATGTAATAAGTTTTAGAGTTTTGAAAAAACACTCAATCAACAGGACATGCTTAAAACGAGTATCATTTTATGAATATGAATATATTGGTTCCCTAATACAGCTGAGTAGGGGTCAGAGCCTATCATCCTATACTGGGGAACATTTTTTTCCAAAAGAGAAGTGAAGACAATCATGACCACATGGCCACTGAGTTTTACTAATGAGAATCCGTAAATATATTAATTTGTAAGCTTGGCAGCATTCTATCATTCATTATTCATAATCTTTTTATCTATTACTCATTGGAACAATTGATTTCCATATTTATTTGTATGTAGACAGTAAGTTCTGTTTACAGTCGCATCTTTCACTCTTATTTCTTACTTAAAGCCCCTAATCTTGTCACTGGAATAAGTACAAAAGATTCACAAACTTAACTCCTAAAAATCAGCTAGAGCCATTAAATTTTGCAACCCTAACAACAATGCCATTAAGAAAATTATAATATGTGCATACATCAGAATTGGGACCAAAAATCAGATCAGCATAGGAAAAAAATAGGCTAATATTGTTGATGCTAATTTAGGGTTTAAAATAGGGTAATAAAAAAACAGAGAGTGAAAAATAAAAAACACTGGTTGAAAAATCAGTTCTGGTGATCTGGGAAAAATAAATGAGATGTGTAAAACACTGATTGATCAATCCAAATTGATCAATAAAAAACAGTGATTGAAATTCTTCAAAACATTGATTGAAAACCCTAGGAGAAGAATCGACGGGAAGGAAGAACTTGAGAGAGAGAGAGAGAGAGAGAGAGGGAGAGAGAGAGAGAGAGATATAGAGCTTGAGATTTTCTGAAGCAATGGTGCTCACCTTAGTAGATGATGGTGCTCACTCTCCTCGCCGGACGAATCTGAGGTTGAATCACCGAGCTTTGAGGAAGAACTTGAGAGAGAGAGAGAGAGATATAGAGCTTGAGATTTTCTGAAGCGATGGTGCTCACCTTGGTAGATGATGGCGCTCACTTTCCTTGCTGGACGAATCTGAGATTGAATCACCAAGCTTTGAAATCGAGAGAGAACTTCAAAATCGCCGAATGAATCTGAGATTGAATCACCGAGCTGAAGAAGGTTGAACTTCGAAATCACCTTCAGTCGATCAACAGATCTTCAATCGATCGATCTGATCTAAAAATGATAAAGTAGATAAAACCTAGCATACCTGAATCGAATGATTCCATTAGTAAGTATCATCTTCAATCGAACTTGAATGTGAGAAGATAGAGATATGACTGATCAACACTTACCATGAAGAAAGACCTGCGAACTCGAACACGAACTCGAGATGGCACATTATGATCTGCGAATCAATGATCTACGAATACTTCAATCAAATAAACGAAGAGGTGAATCGAATACTTAAAGAGACGGGTTGCAGATTAATCGATTACTAAATGAAGGGGTTTGAATCGAGAGAAACGAAAGGGTTTGAAGCAAGAGAGAGTGAAATCAAGGGTATAGTGAGAGCGAGAGAGAGAGAATAGGCTATTTAAGTCTTACATTAAAAAAAAAAAACGAAAAAACATTTGAAGGCGTTTTCGAAAGTTATAACGATGTTGTATCAGTCAACAAGAATACGACGTTTAAAAAAACGCCGTAAAATATTAGAATCAAAGGTGTTTTTTCAAACGCCGTCAAATAAATGCCGTTACATCCCACTTTTCTTGTAGTGGTATGATAGTTGTGGGTATTGAGTTTCGACCACACAACCAAACGGAGAACTTGGTTGGAGAGCACTGGCAGAATAGAATTAACCAATTACTTGCCAACAAGAAGAAGAGAATTCCACGGTGGTTTGCCCATATGGGGGCGCTCCGATAATCAAATCAGTAAATTTATCTCACAAATAGCAAATAGGACTTAAACTCACAAGAAAGAACTTACCTCAGACCCACGAGGATGTCTCACTTTTATAACCAGCAGTAACCTGAACACCTAGAAGCCTTACTTCATTTGACTCAAGCTCAATGCTCATCCTAGATTATTAGCTGGATAGGAATAAACTCCTCAGGAGCCTTATCCTTATCCAGACTGAGATCCTTCCCCGCTCTGAGACTCTTGTCCCTTATCTGGATACCTTGACATTCCGACATTACCGCAAAACATCTCGACAATGTCGTGATCATCTCGGCAACATGACTCATCCACGTGGCACCTTAGCCGACATCTCAGGCTCTCTTGGCCACGTGTCGTCATTCGCAAAATACTTCCCCACAATAGTCTTCCCCGAAGTCGTCCTACTACATCACTCTTTCTTTATTTTGGTTTGTTCCATCTTTTTCTTGCAAGGCCAAAGCAGAGTACATCTCTTTATTGTTTGCTAAATAAGTAAACCAATACAATCAAGGAAAAAATTTGAAACATTAGGCAAACAAGAAGTCCTACATCTGTCAAGATCGGCATTGGATGCACATGCTTCAATGTATTCAATATAGTGTTCAGTGCACCACTCCAAACATGAAATCTTAATCTGTGACAGTGGTTCTTCATCTCCCAATAAGCTAACCCCTTCAGTTTCAGAAATTTCGTACTCTGATAGCTCGGGATCAAGTGAGGATTCTTCGAGTTTCTGTAGGCGTCTTCTGTATTCAATATGAGCTGAATGTCTTGGAAGAAGATCCACTTTGTTCCCGTGTCAAACTTGTGAATATCAGTGTAAGAAAACCAATCTTTTGAGAGCAGCAAGAGATGATAGCCGTGGATAAGAATATAAGAGATAAATGCATCACATCAATATATCAAGCTGGCACAGAAAATTAACTTGCAGTTCGCATTACTTTCTGCAAATTAAAAATCGAACTTCCATATATATAAAGCAATAGATTGGGACTGAGATGGTAAGGTTAACATCACTCATGTCAAAAACTAGAACCAACGATCATATATTGGGAGGGCCTCAATTGAGAAGTCATCGTGAAGATGAGCCATCCAAACAGAAACATGAGCCGTGTAATATTTTGTATTGATAGCCCACCTAAACAATAAATGCACCGCAGTTAGATACTTTAGGAAATTCTAGATAGAAATGCACATTTTTACTAAATTAATTGGATCATACACTGTCTGAATAAAGAATCTAGTCCACATACCCGTAGGCAACTACGTCAGACGACGAGCAAAGATCCTCTAGAGTGATTTTTTTCTAAAGTTTCCTAGAGTGTTACATTGTGTGGTTGAGATTTATTGGCAAGTCACATCAATTTTTCTGATGTGACTTGCCAGTAAATCTCAACCACACAATGTAGCACTCTAGGAAACTTTAAGAAAATTTCACTCTAGAAGATCCTTGGTGGTTAGCTATAATGTCCCTGAGTTTTGCTTTACGTGTAATTTGACAAGTTTGAATTACTTTTTGTTGATGCGATTCGATTGGAAATACATGACATTATGGTGTATTGTATGTGTGAAAATTGATTATGACATGTTGAATGACCCCATTGTTGTAATGTAATTAGTCCTAATCAATTTCTTATCCTAATGCTAGGAAGATAATGGTAAGAGCAATCAGACTACTAATCAAATGGAATAAACAATAACACTTCAATACAATCAGTAACTAGGGTTAGATAATCCAAGAACAATATATATCTACACTACATATATGTATGCACAGATAAACTTGTAGAGATGAGAAAGAGAGAGAGAGAGAGAGAGAGAGAGAAAATTTTATTTATTTATTTTGTGCGTGTACATTAAATTAGGATGAAAATTTTATTAAAAAATTATTTCGTATTTTTTTTATCAAAAATATTTTGTAATTTGAAAAGCATGAAAAGTGCAATAAAATCTTTATACATTCCTCTATCTAAATTAAATGGATAGAATCGTGATAAATCAACAATTGTTTTTCAAAGATAAATGGATAGAAATCAACAAAATAATAATAATAATAATAATAAAATTACAATCTTTTTAAATTTAAGAACTAGACAAGTCTTTAAACTTGAGACTTTCATTTTTAATTTGTTTTTTTTCCACTAGGCCAATTCCTTACAATTGTTTTTTAAGGCTCTCATTTTAGCCAAACAACAACAACAAAAAAGGTTTTGATTTCTTTTTTCTTTTTCGGTTTCTTTCATGCATTTTTAATGGTTATTGTGTGGGTGAAAATCTGACCACACTGCCCGTTTAGTGATCAGCTGGAGAGCACAGGTAGAATAGATGGCTTTAGCAACCTGTAACAGAAAGAAGCTCCGGCGGTGGTTCTTCCACCCGGGGGCACTCCGACGATCAAGTCAGTATATCTCTCAAAGATAATCAAGTGCTAAACTGAATACTCAAAACATAAATTACATACCTTAGACCCACGGGGGTGCCTCTCTTTTATAATATACTCAATCCAAGTCCCACTAGAAGTATGACTTCTATGAACTCCAATTTACTGTTTACTCTGGACTCTTTAAGAGATAAAGATAAACTCCCTAAGAGCTTTATCCTTATCTTGGTTAAGTCCCCTTTTTGCCTTAGGACTCTTGCCCCTTATCTCGGATTCCGATATCTTCGGAGATGACCTCGGCTTCTCCGAGATTACCTCGGCTTAACTACCAGGGCACGTGGCACCTCGGCTGACACGTCGGCGTCACCGTGCCACGTGTTGGTATTCAGAAAATATATCCCCACAAGAACCATACTGAAAATTACAAATAGACTGAACAGAAATACATGATAAAATAAAAGAGGTATGTTTTCTATATTATTATTGCTTTTGGACAATGAAGATTTTCTTTATATTGTGTCTTTTGATAAAAGAAAATTTTGAACAAAGGTTTTTTTTTTTTTTTTTGGGAAAGTTGGTTAACTTAGGGTTCGTTTGACAATATCAACATTTAGTTTAAAAGTCAAAAAATCACTAAAAATGTTGAAAAATCAACAAATTATATAAAGAAATTAAAATTTTCATTTTTTTCTCAACCTTTTGCGTGTCTTTTTATAGAAGAATTAAAAAGTTATCCCAAACATATTATTTTTTTAACCTCATGTTTTAATAAAAAAATTTAAAAAGTTATTAAAATAATCTGTTCCCAAACGATATCTTAAAATCAAGTGAGACATTTACATAATGATATTTTTATTGGCCGATGGATGTTTTTAGTGGTACTTGACTAGCAATTTTTTGTAATAGACTTTGAACAATGGGGTATTTTGACTAGGTGTTTAGACAAATAACTTAAAAATGTGAAGGCTTTAAAAAAAGAGCCTTAAGCAATGATTTCAATGGCCTATAGGTTGGACCGGGTATTGCAACGACTTTCTCCAATTCGTCCAATTCTTTTCTTTATTGAACTTTTGGGGACGAGTTGGCTACGGAATTCTTTTGTCCCACAAACCTTTGGTGATGAATTTTTCTTTTTTAGTGATGGAAAATGTCGTCACTAAATGTGTATTTATTGCAATCAGAAATTTTGCAAAGACAAATATAGTCCGCCTAACAGCTGGTTCCAAATGAAGTTATAATTGAATTTGAGTTATAATCGCCACTCTATTCTATGAAAGAAAGAAGGAAAAAGAAAAAAGAAGAAGAAAAAACAACTCCACTATCTTGAATTAAGATTCCAGTTGCTTTTGGGATATGCTTTATAAGGTGTGCTTATTTAATAATTTAAATTGAGGCTGGACATCATCTTACAGGTTGCTTTTCGGAATATTTATTTTGAAGAAATGTCATTAAAATTGAGGTTTCTGTATACAATTAAAATAATTTATCAAGTTGGTCAACTTGCAATTTACTTGTTAGCCGTCATCCTTAAATAAATTAAGCTCAAGTTTTACAGTATGTTTGCAATTTGCGTTTCTGTAAAAACAAACAGAAACACAAACATTGCTTAATTATTTTGAAGAGTGCTACTAATGGTCCATATCTTTTCTCTTTGAGCCCCATCTAAATATTTTACTTTTTATTTATTTTTCTTTAAGGGTCTTTTACACATGCTAAACAAACTTAAAAAGATTGTACTCTTTATTACACTCACTTTCATGCAAGATGTACAATTCTTTTAAACTTCTCAACATGTGCCTTAAGGATACATGTTAACAAAATCATTTCTTTAAGCACCAATCTTAATCCCAATTCTACCTTCATTCCTTACCTTCATTCATAATGCATGTGTCCCATTGGTCCACTTAGAAAATATGAGGAAGAAGAACTTAGAAAATATGAGGAAGAAGAACTCCGAAAATATGAGGAAGAAGGAATATATTTCTGTTATATTCAAAACTTCTTATTTTACAAGACCAAATGACACTCCTTATATAGGAGATATTACAAACATCATTATAACCCATTATATGCGACTTACATATTATATATTACCACTATCTACCACTATCATATTATATACATGCCACTATCTACCACCAACACCACTATCATATTCTATACATGCCACTATCTACCACCAACACCACTATCATATTGTATGCATTAACACAAATTTCCAGCAATGTTCTTGATGAAAATGATGTTGTTGTTGATTCCATATACATATACAGATTATTATTATTATTTTTTTTGGTTGAACAGATCTATGTTTTAGTTGTGAACAGGTCTGTGTGTGTGTGTGTGTGTTTGTGAACAGGTCTGTCGGGGATTTATCGGGGTCGGGGAAACCCGATCCCCGTTAGGGGGCGGGGTCGGGGGAGATGATGCCTTCCCCGTCGGGGATCGGGGCCGGGGACGGGGACTTTTATTCTTCGGGGATCGGGGACAGGGAGGGTCATCCCCGGCCCCGCCCCGCCCCGTTGCCATTCCTATTAAGGAAGCAGACAAAGTTTATATCAGGGACAAGGACAAACAACAAGTCACTTGGATGCAAGAGCCTACTTTCCCTCTCTACTGCCAACTTCTTCTCCGGGTAAGTGTCCAGAGTCAACCTCATCTCCTAAGAGTGCGGGTAATTCTAATTTTAGTACTTCTATTTCTGATCTTTAAGATCTTGATGTTCCCATTGCTAATAAGAAGGGAGTCAGGTTATGTACTCAACATCCTATTAGCAATCATGTCTCTTATTCTAATCTGTCTTCCTCATATAAAGCCTTTCTGTCTAAACTGTCTTTTGTGAGTCTACCTAACACTTTTCAGGATGTTCTCTGTATTCTTGAATGGAAACCTGCCCTGATGGAAGAAATGAGAGCTCTCACCAAGAGTAGTACTTGGGAGTTAGTGGAGTTACCTAGAGAAAAAAATCTAGTTGGGTGTAAGTGGGTGTACACAGTAAAACACAAAGCAGATGGTTCCATAGAACGGTATAAAGCAAGATTGGTTGCTAAGGGCTTCACTCAGACTTTGGGGTAGATTACCAAGAGACATTTGCACCGGTTGCTAAGATGAACTTTGTGAGAATCTTACTCTCTATGCTGAAATATGGGTTCAAGTAGAGTCAAGCTGATCACATCTTGTTTGTAAAACACTCCCCACATGGTAAGACCACAGTTCTCATTGTTTATGTTAATGATATTGTTCTAACAGGAGATGACGTTGAGGAGATCCCTCGATTGAAGGAATACTTAGCCAAAGAGTTTGAAATTAAAGACTTGGGTCATTTGAAGTATATCTTGGGTATTGAAGTAGCTAGGAGCAAGGATGGCATCTTTATATGTCAGAGAAAGTATGTGCTTGACTTACTGAAGGAAATCGGACTGCTTAGAGGTAGACCGTGTAATACACCTCTAGAACCATGCCAGAAACTTAGTGAGGATCAAGAGGGAGAGCTAGTAGGCAGGGGGAGATACCAGAGACTAGTGGGCAAGCTCATGTACTTATTCCACTTACGTCTAGACATTGCCATTGCCGTGAGCATGGTGAGCCAGTTCATGCATGCTCCTAGAACTTCCCACTTCGAGGCAGTTATGAGAATCCTGAGATACCCGAAGTCTTCTCCCGGAAAAGGTCTCTACTTCTCAAAACATAGCCATCTCAGTATGGAAGCATTTACTGATACAGATTGGGCAGGATTAGTCACTGACAGATGATCAACTTTTGGATACTGCACATTTGTTGGTGGTAACTTAGTCACCTGGCGAAATAAGAAACAGAATGTGGTTGCTCGATCTAGTGCTAAGGCAGAATTTAGGGCTATGGCTCAGGGGGTATGTGAGTTACTATGGATTTAACTATTGTTGGGAGACTTGGGAATTCATCAGACTGACTCCATGCGACTATATTGTAACAACAAGGCCGCAATCAACATAGCTCATAATCCAGTTTAGCATGATAGAATTAAGCATGTGGAGATTGATAGGCACTTCATCAAGGAAAAACTCACTAGTGTCACTATATGTATTCCATTTGTGAAGATTGGTGACCAACTAGCTGATGTTCTCACCAGGGGATTAGTGAGCAAATACTTTCATGGCATTCTCAACAAGCTGGGCATAAGAGAGATCTTCGCACCAGCTTCAGGGGGAGTGCTAGAATAGGAAATATTAGAATATGAAATAATAATTGTATTCTTATTTATTCCTTTTTTGGTTGCTCGAATTATGCCTGTAATTGCTCAGAATTATCAATATAAAAGGGAATGAAGTCTAACTCATTCCATAACTCTTTTTCTTCTCTAAAATCTATAATTTCTTGTGGAATGGTATGGGAGTGGAGTTTAAATATCATTTAGTGGATTGGGATCGGGTTTTTAGGCCAAAAAAAGGGGGAGGGGGGTGGGGGTGGTGAGAAGCAAGGGGGGGGGGGGAGGGGGTGGTTTGGGAGTGCATAGGATGGTGACAATTAATATGGCTCTATTGGGGAAATGGCTTTGGCGGTTTGTTGGAGAGATGAAGTGGTTGTGGCATCGGGTGGTGGTTGTAAAATATGGGGTTTAGAGGAGGGAGTGATGATCTGGGATAGTGGAGGGCTCACATGGTCAGGGTTTGTGGAAAGGGATTTGGTTAGGTGGGGGGAGATTTTTGGAAGGATGTTCGGTTTCGAGTGGGGATAGGGGATAGGGTGAGGTTTTGGCTTGATAGGTGGTGTGGCGATGTTCCATTAGAATGCTTGTTCCCATTGATCTTTCAAGTGGCAGAGGATCGGGAGGCGTCAGTGGCATCCTATCTCGATGGGACTGGGACTATGGCGGTTTGGGATATTCGTCTTCGACGGCAGCTTCAGGACTAGGAGGTTGGGCAATTGGTGTATCTCTTAGCTCTCTTGTATGTTGTGAGAGTTAGGGGAGAGGGAATGATGTTTTGGTGCGGCGTTGGCCGAGAGTGAGGGGTGTATTCTCCATTTCATACTTTTATCAAGCCTTGGTTGTCGCCGGGTATGAGTTTTTTCCTTAGTGGAATATTTGGTTTATGGGAATTCCTTTAAAAGTGACTTTTTTATTTTTTATTTGTTTCTATTTTTTTGTGTGACCGACGATTTTGGGTAGAATTCTAACTATTGATAATTTGGTTCTCCGCCGCCATATTCTAGTAAATTGGTGTTGCATGTTATGGGTGTTGTGCCTTTTTCGAAGTCCAAGGCTCGTCCCACACGTGTTGTGCCAACTTACTTCAACAAATATTGATAGAGTTACTACTTAATTTTATAGGGGATTAAGAAACCTTTAACAATAAACTAAGTGAAGGACCAATCCGTCATAACCAGAGATTTTTAGGTTCGGGAGTTTAGGTACAATAAAGGAAGGTTAGTGAATGGTAACATCTCTTTTTGCTCAATCTGAAGATTGGCCTCTACTAACTTTCTATTTTATGATTTTAGTGACTAGTTATTTACAAACTTCATTATTAGACCTAAAACCTTTACTAATCCTACAAACTAGATTTCAAAATTGAATATCACCTAACTTAGATTTTATGAATAAAATCATATCCTTTTCAAAAATAAATATTTTATTACCAAAAATAGATTTTTTAAGGATATTATCATACACATGAACTAAGTCAAGCAATAATCATGAAAGCACTCAAAATACACAATTTTGCATAGAAAAACATTTAACTTGCATAATTTAAAGGACAATGCACTAAACAAGCACGTGCTATGTGGAACAAGAAAACTTACTTGGATGCCCACTTTTAGCATCTTACATGCAATATTTGAAATAAATATGACCCTAATATGCAACTATTGAAACAATAATGAACCTAAACCTAGTTTGAGGCTACTACCATGATTTTTATGCATAGAAAAGCAAATAACAAATAAAGACTGAAAAATGCAAACTATCTATATGATGGTTCAAACTGGGCTGTGAATATGTATTATATGATTACATGAGGCCTAAACATGCTATTTCTAACAAAGATGAAGAAAACATGCAAGAAAAGCCGGAAAAATGAATAAAATTAGGAAACTGCATGATGATTATGCCATCCTAACAACCCTAGATGATTGCATATTGAAAAGAAGATTGAAAAAGGTACTGAAATAACAAAAGGATAAGAGATTACCTGCTGTTTTTAAGAAAATGCGAGAAAACTTTATTTTCTTGCTTGCAATCCTCCCTCAAGCAAAGGTTTCTGATTATAGTTCAAACCTCCAAGTCTTAGGTTGTGTTTTATTGCTTTTAGGTTGTTGTTAGGGTTAGGATTTTCGAAGTTAATAGGGAGGGAGAGGGCATCTTTCTCTCAAGCTCTCTAATGCTCTCAAAAGGTTTTAATTTTGTAACGCCTTGCAAGAGGGGGGGAAGGGGTGCTTTTATCGGCACTCTTAGCTTGGGGAGGAAGCCAAGGGTTAGCCATCGCTTCTCCCCTAGCGCCTCCCTCCAAAGCCATAATGACAAGCTTTCATAGTTTCCATTTGTGTTTGTCGGGCAGAAGTGCGGCCGTGCATACTAGGTGCGGCTGCACGATGCACGTGCAACCAATTGTCCAAGTGTCAACTTTGCAAGTTAGGTGTAGGTTTGCATAGCAAGATGCGGTTTTGCATGGCTTTTACCTGCTTGTGGCCTAAGCAAGCCCAAATTATCTTTTGATCAATGTTTTTGATAAAGCTGGTCAGTAATTTTGGAAAAGATCATCAATCTAAGTGCAATTAGGCTTCCCCTATCTCTTGGGGTCGGAAAAACGAGTTCAGGGTTATTTTGGTCATTTTTGCAAAAAGTCAGTTTTAGGCCAAAACAGGGCATAACAGCAACCTTAAGCAATTTCCAACGTTCCAAAGGTGGAGATATTATTATTTCATCATCGGGAGGCCTACAAGTGCCCTAAATCTTAGGGTCGGTCAAAATAGGGTGCCTACACGTGTTGCTAGGATGCGAAGTCATTTGCTCCTCTATGTTTAATGTGGTCGATTTGGTTGGAGTGGAATCAACATATTTTTCAGGGGGTGGTACAACTAGTTTCAAGGTTGATGAATAGGTTGTTAGTGGTTTTGTGTAGTTGGGTTATGGGAATGGTGGAGCCGGATATGTTTTCTTCTTTATTTTTTGGGTGATTTGATTGGATAGGTGGTTTTTCCCTTTTGGGGTATTCTTTGTATCCGTTGGCATCATCTTGATGCTCAACATATATATATATATGCATAAAGATAAAAAGATTAAGGAGGATGTGGCTTATAGAATTGGTGTGAGATGGATGATTCGGAGGAGTGTATTGAGAGTGTTGTGTGATTGTAGAATTCCTATTAAAGTTGAAGGAAAGTTCTATAGGACTTCTATAAGTTCTGTTATGATGTGTGGTGCTGAACAATGAGCAGTTAAGAAATTGTGTGTTTAAAAATTATCACTAAAATGAAAATGTTGAGATGGATAAGTTAAAAGAAAAAGTAAGAAAAGAAATGAAAATTCATTAGGAATAAGTCATCAGTGACACCATTTGAAGGTAAGATGGGGGATGCTATAATCGTCTGCATCATAGACCAAATAATGCACCAGTAAGGAGTAGTGTATGATCCATGCAGAGGGTGGTAAAAAAAACAGAGGAAGGCCCAGGAGAACTTTGCTTGAGGTGATGAGAAAAGACATGACTGTCTTAAACTTAACTGAGGATATAACTTTGAATCAACTGGTGGAAATAGATCCCTATAGCTGCCCCCCTCAAGTAATTAGGATTAAGGTAAAGGCTTGTTGAGTAGAGTTTAGAATCATTTATATAACCATTACCATTTAGAAATTACCCCGTAAATTATTTTTTAGAAAGTTTGGATGAAAAGATGATGGTCATATAGGATATATATTTTGTAATGGTTAAGCTCCTGTCCAGAGCTAATTTCCTTTCTAGAGAGAAGCTGGAAGAAGTTACTGGGAAAACAATCTGTTTGTCTTCTAATGTGGGGAACAAGATAATCGGAAATTGAAACCTGTGTAACTCAACTTTTGCCGACACCTCTTGCATGCTCATGCCTCTTCTTACACCATTTTCTTTTTGAATTTTTCTCTACTCCTTCCTCGATTCTCATTATTTTTTTATCTGTTGGTGTGTGAATGCAGTGGGCCTTATTTCTCTCTTTCTACGGCCCTCTGCCAATGTGTTATATGATTTGTCACTTTGGAAAAGGATGATTCTTGTCCTGAATATTAATCGCATGTCATTTTCATATAGGTTTTTATGGATAGTCATGTTCTAGTTTCATTTTGAGTTCTTGCTTCACACTTAACGAATTAATGTGTCAAGAGTACAGTAGATTGTGAAATTCGCTGTGATTCACAGCCATTTTGGCTTTTATCAAAGCTTCTTCCATCACAACATGGGATGCAACCATGTGAGAGTGAGCCATAGGGTTGTGGATGGAGCAATTTCCAAAGTATCTAATTTTAAATCCAACACTCTATTTTGTACTCATGTGTTGCGTGTATCTGCTTGTTTTTGTCTCACAGATCATACAAGGCAAACATGACAAGCCAAACAAAGAAAATAAACAGTAAATGCATCAACTAGCGGGGATAAGGCCAGTGCTGTGGATCTCATCCAACTTTACTGGCTCTGGAGCGAACATTTCAAACTTAGTTTGAGCAAAGCTCATGGGGCTGCACCACCAGAAGACCTCGGTGCCATTTTTTATCTGTGCAGAGGAAACTTGATGTTTCAACAATCTATAGCCAGGCTGCAAAGGAGTTTTCCATTCCAATGAATTGGAAATTGCGGATTGTTAACACAAGAAGAGCTTCAATACCTTACTTTGCTTCAATACCTTATTGGAAATTGCTGATAATTAACTATTGGATTATACACTCACAATTATGATTTGATTTAAATGCATAATTGTAATTTTTGCAAGGATGTTAATTATATCTCAAAACTCTTATGCATTTTCTTCTTTTATGAATGAAATTATAAATTTGGCATTACATTGTTTGCAAGAGAAAATGCATCGCTTTGGTAAATGGCATTCATATGCATTCACCATATGGCTGGAGATTGCCCTTTTATATATTTCTATTTTATATTTTTCTCCACTCTAATTTTATATATTTATCAATGAGTTTAGATCATTGTCATACAATAAAGATTTGGATTAATTGGTAAAAAAAAATACATTCTTATTAGGTCATATATTATTTAGTTTAAGGTTTAATTTTTTTTGTGACAAGTCGTGGAAAAAGTCATTGGCACCGGAGAAGTTGAAAAATTGACCAAAAAAGTTGTTGGAAAGTCAATGACGGCAGTTAGTGGTGATGAGGTGGGACATATAGGTGACACGTGTACAGATAAGTGATATTTGAATAGATAAATAGATATGTGACACGTGTACAAAATATATGATACTTGAATAAATATATAAATTTTAAACAAATACACGTCCTTGTGGACAAGTAATTTCTTTTGGCTGAAAAAAATTTAAACTTCAACCTATTAGCCCAACAATTTCAGAAATTTTTTTCAGAAATTTTTTTCATATTAATACAATTTTATTATTCTTTTTATCTTTATTCTTGGTATAAAATTGTGATGACTGTCCTCTCATTCCGTAGTTTGCAATGGTTTTCAACCAAGTTAATACATGAAGCACTAAAATATTATTGTTTCTTTTAGCTTCTTCTGCTTCTACATATGTAACGCCTTGACCTTTTACACGTCATCGATATTGTTCGCTTTGGCTCACGCCTGCACGGATTTGTTCTTCCCAGTGGGTCACCCATCCTACAACTACTCCAGCCTAAGCACACTTAACTAAGGAGTTCTAATAGGGATTTTACCACTTGAAAAAAGGCCTCGATGCTATATAAGGGTCCAAGTTTTTACTTTCATAGCGCAGGAACTTTCCCTCCATTCCCGATGTGCAACACCGGGGCCTTACAAACAAAAACAAACTACTAGTCCAAATTTTTCAAGTGAATCACGGCTCTAAAACTTCATCTTGATTGTCTTCGGGATAACCTTCCCCGTCGTAAGCTGCTTTTTCACTTGGCATAACACGCCATGAGCTTGGAATGCCCAGTAAAAACACACACACCCCTATATCTTCTATCAATCAATCAACCATACACAAAACAAATTAGGTAACATAACATATTTACTTTAAGGTTTTATGAATTAGTAGTTAGACTAGGCATCTAGAACCCCCCATAGAGATCCTTCTACCCAACCACAAGATTAAACACCGGACTGCTTAGAACTCCCCATTTTGCTGCTTTGCAGACCTTACCACCCATGTTCACCTCCCGGTTATTTACCGGCCAGCAACATCGATGGACCTCAAAAGGGACGGCCAAACAAGTGGGCTCGCTTACACCCCAAATCGTGTATAGGGCTCGCTTACACCCTGCACATACCATACCAAAGGGCTCGCTTACACCCTGAAACCACCGCATAGAGTCTGAATACGTCCGTGTCAACCTAGGGGCTCGCTCAAAACGCTTACACAAGACTTAACTCATTTGGTAATAATCTCATCATAATTCATGTCATGACAGGGTTGAGCCCTTAATGAAAAGTGAAAATGAGCTCAAAAAAATGACCTTTTCAGTTTTGGTCGGAG